AGTCAAAACATGCCACCATCAAATAAATGTGGTGGTGGATTCGTAAATATTTTGTCAACACGAAAATGTGCAACGTATACACGTTATAGTGCATCACATTTGCTTAAGAGTGGAGTTCTCACGTTCTCACGTTAAGTATGGTTCTCATTTGATGCTAAATCTATATATATATATATATATATATATATATATATATATATATATATATATAGGGGTGTTCAAATACAAAGTAGTCCTTACATGAAAAATGAGAAGTAATCTTAGCCATTAAAATGAAAAACATAAGTGGATGAGATCAATTTTAAAGTGAAAAACGTGGTGACAAAAGTGTAAATATTAGGAACTTTTTTAAAAATAAAATAATAAATGTGCACGACTATGGAGAAAAAGTGCATCTAACTAAAAGAAAAGTGCATCACGCTTCGAAATAAAATAAGAAGTATAAAAATCGAGTTGTAACTTCTTTAATAAGGTAAATGTGCACTTTTACATATCTTATATGCATGTTTACTATTAGATATTCCGAATTTTGGTTTAGTATTTCCCAGCGCGATTTTTGATTTATTCCGTCCATTTTTAAGTTATCAAAAGCTTAGATCACTTCTTACTTTTCATGGGAAAAACCCTTTGTATTAGAACTCACCCCTATATATTCTTTTCATGAGTTTATATTCTATGTGTAACGCTATCTACTCGATAGGATTCGATATTTAGTACGGATTGATCCATGTGCACTTTGACCCAGTTGAGCGACTTCAGCCAAATTAAGAATCCTGTCAATTGTAGAGGCCATTTGGTAAAACTGTTTTTCGGCTTATCAGGCTTATCAACCAACCTTTTCACCAAACACGTAACTTTTGTATTCGCGTGCTGAATTGGGTAATAATAAGAAAAAGTAAGGTTGAAGTTACTTTTCTGGCTGTATTGGCTGGAGTTACTATAGATGACCATTTTAGCTATTTTTACATACTCCATTCGTCCCTAAATGTTGTTCCAATTGCGGATTACGAAGGTTGACCGACGATAAAGTTAAATGATCCCTGTGAAAACTCGGATTTTTTTTAGTAAATAAAATTTACATATTCAGAAACTACATTAAATCCGCTACAAAGCCTGCAAAAAATAATTCAACTTTTATAAAATTTTGATATAAAAAGTAAGAGTTTAAGAGTGATTTAAGTTGACCCTCGATAAGCGAAATGGAACTTCTTTTAGGGACAGAGGGAGTATAATTTTTCTTTAGTTTATTAATAAAATATATTTTAAAAATAATTTTCTCTTAAATCAGCAGAATCAGCCAATGCAGCCACTTCAGCCAGAATTTCATAAATTTCAGCAGAATCAGCCGAATCAGCCGATTTTCGTGTTACCAAACGGGCTCGTAGTATTAAAACTAGTCTGGTTCACTCTGTTCGCTCGGGCAAGTGGTTTTGTGTTTCGGGGTTGCAAGTAGAGACCAAACTTGTTTGTCTGGGCTTGTGGACCATGTTTTGGTGTCACAACCATTTGAGGGGACTTGGTGAGACTAAGCCCCATAGCGTTTCAATATTTAAGAGAGTCTTTTAGTAAGCAATGCTAAAATACATCTTTCTACATGCTTGTCTATTGAATTTAGTTAGTTATATTTGATGTGAGGATTATACTCTTGAGCAGGAAAGCACTTATTAAGGTCATGCTAAGAAAGAATCCCGAGCATCGGCCAAGCGTAAGACCTTCTGGAAGCAGATTCTAGAAGCTTATTTTTCTTTCCTTTTTTTTGGGCCTTTGTTGTTTTAATTACTTTATTATGTTTTAATTTTTTCAGGCATCAGACCTCCTGAAACACCCATTTTTGCAGCCCTACGTTGCACAATATCGCACAGCCTTTCATTGTCCCCCGCCAAGAAAACCCTTGAACACTGCGAGTGACAGTAGTCATCAAAAGAACACAATGGTTGAAAGTGGTAGAGATAGTTTCAATTGTGACGATAACAAGCGGCCTTTTGACACCAGTTTGGCCTTTCCTGATGACAAAAGTGGGACCCACAGTGTTGAAGAAGTACTCAAAACAGAGGATACCTGTAGCGGAAAAAATGAGGATCAAGATGCAGGGCATATCTGTAATTTCGAATCTAAACAACCAAAGACTATACATAATATAATGACGGCCTTGAGAGAAGGAAAAGGTAGAGAGAATAACTCATCTCCTATACGAGGCAGCCGGGTAAAAGGCAAATCTTTTGGCACACAGAAAGCTGTTGAAGTATCACCTAAACTTCCAAAACCATACTTGGTCAGCTCTAATTCCAAGATTAATGCGGAGGAGGGGCTTGCTTCCAAATCAGCCAAGGGTCATTTGATGTCTTCTCTCAAGCACCAGGTATGATCGTGTGCCTGTCTGGTAAAATGGTTATTCTGCTTATATGAGCTGGATATTATACCAAATACTAAACTCAATTTACTTCCCTGACTGATTTGGCTGATAATATACGTAGTATAAAATAGCATGCGATTAACTTTATTTATTTATTTATTTTTTTTTAAATCTTAAATCACACTGATTCATTGCCAGGAAAAAGTACAGAGATCTGCAAAAGTGAGCCTAAAATTTTCAAATATAATGGCAAAAACCATTTTTAGAAACTCATAGATTTAGTAAAATGCGATTAACTTTATTGTACCTTAACATGAAAGAAAATGACATGTTTACTATTTACCCTTATTTATATTATTTTCTAATGTATTAATAAAATCGAATATTATTTTATATGACGCAGCCATTAAATTGGCTGGTTATAGGAAAAAATAAATTTACTGGAATGAAAAACACACACTTTTATTATGATGGAATATGATGGAATAAAGCAAAATGGCTCACTAAACTGTCTGCGCTTCTTTATTATGAAGCAGTAGTCAGTGCATGCAATTTTCGACAGAATTTCACTATGGGTCATCCGGAAACAGTCTCTCGGTGCTTTAGTACAGGGGTAAGACTGCGTACATCCGACCCCCCTTACCTCATCGTAGATGGGAGCCTTTGCGGCACTGGGGTAATGATGATGATGATGAAAAAACACACTTTTACCCTTGTTTTCATACATGTTTTTTAAATTCAATCTATTTAAGGTAATTGCCATTTAAACCAATTTTTTCCCCTTACCAATTAGCTCTTAGATTTTCTTGTGTTTACTTAAGAATTCATTCATGAATTTATTTTGAACACATCTTTGCAGCTGCCCACCATTGAGTCCTCTCCCAAGACCAAACCTAAACATGAGGGATACTCACCACAAGGGCTTGTGAAACATACTGCTACAGAAGAGGGATTGCCTCCCAGGGTGAAACAAAGAACAATTCCTAATTTGAACAGGCGTCCTTCATTTCCTACAAAAATAAGGCAGGCAGGACCTGATTCTCCAGTTTCGGTGGATGACAACAACAATTACAACAACAAGGGTCAAGACAGCGTTTCTAAATTTTACAAGTCTTTGGTGGGAGTGTCAAATGAACTTCAAATAGACAGCAGCAATTCTGCTTCCTCCTCTTCTGTATCCATTCAAGGATTTGAAATTTGTGACCCGACAGCCCTGTTTGTTAAATCATCTGGGGAGTTGTGCGAACAGGTGACAGAGACAGACAACGTCGGATCAAGACCATCTTCATGCTCAGTTTCTACCTCCATATGGTCAGATAATAATCCCAATGGCTGTATTAGGGAATTTGAAGAACAAATGGATTGTTGTATTGTAACTCGTACTCACAGGGTGAGTGGTTTCAAAGATGATGCTCCAACCAACTTGACTACTGGTCTAAACAATGATGCTCCAACTGATGCCTCTGCTTATTTCAAAGACGACTCTTCAGCTGGGGGGCCTTGTGGTTCAAAAGACGACGGCGGTCTGAAGGGAGGTCCTGCTGATTGTTCTGATGTATTGGAGCAGCCAAGTGCTGTTCTCGTGCCCAGCGGCGATGACAAGCATATGGTTACACAAGAATTCGTCTTTTCAGCAACCCAAGGTGGCACATATCCGGGTTTTGGGCCTGCTTCTCCGAATCAGCAAGTGATACCGAAGGCTTTACTGCCAGATTCTGCAAAAGCTGCTGTGGCAGTTCATGACAAACCAAGCGCTAGTCACATCAAACCCGCTTCTGATGATGATGTTATACATGTGATGAGGAACAGTAGCTTTCAAGTAAGTAAGGGGCAGCAGCAGCCTTTGATCAGAGCCATGGATGTTAAAATCCCGGAGAACACTATATCTCCTACTCCGATAGCAAATTATTTTGAACAATTGAAACCAGGCCCACCGGCTGCGGAGGAAGCTCCAGTAAAGGAGATGCTGGATGTGAAGTCCTTCAGGCAGAGGGCAGAAGCACTGGAAGGGCTGTTGGAATTGTCGGCTGACCTGCTGGAGCATAACAGAATCGAAGAACTTGCGGTTGTCCTTAAGCCTTTCGGGAAAGAAAAGGTGTCCCCGAGGGAGACTGCCATCTGGTTAGCCAAGAGCTTGAAAGGAATGATGCTGGAGGAGTCTAATGCACACAACTCTTGATCCATCAGTAGTAACATCCCTCACAAAAGCTGAGTGCTTTTTTTCTTCAAAATATTAATAATCTGTAATTTATTCAAAAATATATAATAATATGTAATTCTTTTATTTAGCGAAGTGTACATATTAAGAATTCAAATTGTTTTGTTTTTCCGCACTGCAAAATTGCCAATGTACGATTGTGTTTTTGGAATTGTTGACTCATGCTATTGTTTATTAGCACTCTCTCATTACACATATGTGTGTATGTGATATTTTTTTTAATCCGGATCTCCAGTCCAAATTACATGTATGCTTGGATATGGTTGGTTGGACACACTAGGTAGGACTGGGACTCTCATCCTTATTACATGATAAATATCTAACAGCAGTTGGACCAGAACATGTCTGAGATTGTTTCACGACGGATTCTTCCAACTGAACATGAGCTTTAATACAAACGATGTGTTATTTTAATGTATGTGTGTGTGTGTGTGTTTGTGTGTGTGTGCAACAGTCGATTGATTATATAGACTACACTAGTTTTGAAGTTATGCAAATATTACACACATAGTATGTGCTAGTTGGCTCGACTCTTGAGCTACAAATGAATAAAATAGTAGCCAATATACAATATAACAGTAGTTGGCAACTTCAGAGAATTATAGTGTGGACCGGACGGATTTGTTGATTTTGGACATTAAGATCCGATCACCGTCCCAAATTGGCAGCATGCATATGAGTAATGAATTGTTTGACAAACAACCAAATTTGTTGTTCCTCTGGGAGTGGATGGGTGCAGACTTGTGCCCAGCTTGCAAGGTGAGCGACCCTCTGGATTTGCAAGGTGAGAGATGGATAGTCCAGCCCGGACATCCCTATTGTGAAATGGTCCTAATGCGTATAAAATATAGAGTCCATTGGACCTTTAAAGATGAAGATGATCTAGACCATCTGATCTGATTCTATATATGACCGCTCCCACAGTCCCACCATCCGACAAGCATGCCTGCTGCCTTTCTTAGGTATCCAACTTGTCACCTTCTGGGCTTGTGTGGTACGTCTGATCTTTGACAGACCTTAAACGGTGGCTGTAGAGTATCTTGTGCCATCCATTTTGCAACAAGGGGAAGAAGAAGAAGAAGAATAAAAATAATAACAAGAAAAAGTAGGAGAAGAGGAGAAGAAAGAAAAGGAAATGGACAAGAAGACAAGCAAGGATGAGGACGAGATGTGTGACCACTGGGTTTAGGAGATACCAAAGAGGAAGAAGAAGAAGAAGATACAGTAGAATATAGATGACTAGATAAAGGACAGAGATGAGTAGAGAAAGAATGATAGATAGCAGGAAAAGGAGAAGGGGAAGCATTAAGAGTGTTTTTATTTTCAACCAAAGGTTAAAAAACCAAAATATTAAGAAAGGTGACCAAGAACAGTTGAAAAATGCATCCAGAATTGAAGTTCACGCACTTCGCATGGAGTGCCACAATTCAAATGCGTACGTCATAGATGATTTCAAGATAATACGTAGTACTCCCTCCGTCCCCCTAAGTTTGTCCCGTTTTACCTTTTTCGTCCGTCCCACTAAGTTTGTCTCATACCATATTTGGTAACATTTGAGTGGTTAGAATTCATTCTTACTTTATTTACACTTTATCAATTCAATACCAACCACACAATTCCACTTTTTCTTAAAAACCACACCACACCCCTCCGTCCCAAACATAGGGGGACGGAGGGAGTAGTATTTTACTCCTATTTTATGAAATTTCTCTAATTAATAATTTAATATACTAGTAGAACACCCGTGTGATGCACAGTTGGTGAAGTATCATGGGTGTATTTAATGTTGGACACTTTTTAAAAAAAAATTGTAATTTTAATTGAATTGTTTAGAATTATACACTGTACAATAATAAAACTTGATGTAAAATGAAATATATTCAGTACGATTTATCAATGGTTACGAAATAGTACACAACTTTTATAGCCTCACAAAATAATAAGTAGCACACACTATAATTATAATTTGAAAACTACATATGATACACATCTTTATACACAACATTCTCGATTTCAATATTATTCTTCTATCATCATTTGCAATGTAATTTTGTACTGCTTGGTGATTGGTTACTCTTGACACAACTACGTAAAGTTGAACAACTCGCGACAACGATTGTCTTTAACTTATACTTACAGTCATGGCATAATAAGCCATTTTTGAGCATTATTGCATCCGGAATTGGAATGACAAGTTAATATATGAAGGTGTTAAAGAATGCTTCTAAATTGACGCCTTTTAATTTGTCCCACACTAACCCTTATTAAAATCCCTTCTTCTAGTAAAATGCTTTGCTAGTAATTCATGGGCGCAATACTCAAATGATTTTGGCAAAGAATTTTCACATTTCCTAAGATTTATATACATTAATTGAAGATAAGTTATTTATAATGATTAAGTAATAAGGTGACTATACATCTGTATGAATTGCATTTTATAGACGAATTGCCCGTGTAAGCAGGCAAAACAAGGGTGGTGTGCAAATATGTGAAAGTGTGTTGTGTTATTCTTAAACCATACTCCGTATTTGAAAACTACAGAGCAGGGGCGGCCCTGTATGTTCGAAGGCCTAGGACGAAAATTTAAAATGGGCCTAATGTTATAAAAAATTGTAGAACCATTTTCTATCTAAACTGACATGCATAATAATTTAGGAAGGAAACAATGGTGATCCTATTCGTACATTTTACCAATGTTTAAGTCATATTTAAGGAAATAACTCTATTATTATCACATTCTAAATTCTCCACTCCAATGATGTGATCATTCTGAATCGTTTCATTTTTAGTAACTAAATTATTGTTCTTCTATGAGTTCTCATCTTGAAAAGGACATTCAGAATTTGACTTCTTTATACAAATAAACTTTTCCATTGAACTTTTTTTACTTGGCGCCACTTTCTCTAATCTTCTCCTCTTTTTTATTCAGATTCAATCATTTTTTATTAAATCTTGAAATTAATTAAATTTATAACATTTATCATAATTAAAAATGTTTGTATAACTAAATCAAAAAGTTATAACACCTGTTGAGGTTTATTTCCGAAGATCCGAAAGCCCAACACAAGCTTTGGATATTGTAAGGATGTTGGGTTGGTTTGGAAATGTATAAAATATAAGACAGTGAAAGATTGTTCAACTCAAGAGCTAACTCGTATTCTGTAATGCTGTGATTACATTTGAACTACCCGAACGGTAGGTGAGTACAAGAATACAAGAATAAGAGAGATAATTCTACTTGCTAAGCTCTGAGTATTAAAATGCTTCCTTTAGGCTGAATCCAGTAGGCTGCCACCCCTGCCACGTAGGCACCCATGCCCCCACTTGCTGTCGCCATGCTTTTGCATTAAATGCGGCATCCACTTGCTGACTACTCGTTCGGGTGGAGCGTTCGGTGTGCGGGACCCCGCCATTGTTGTTTTTAGGAGTCAGTGTTTTCCTGAGATGCACCAAGTAGAAGAATTGTGCCGAATGCCGAACGGGTCTGGACTGCTTTGGGCTTTATGCTTCCTTCTGGATCCCCCATACTTTGGGCCAGGGATATTGGGCCTGGACCCAATATCCCAACACTAGTCCCCCACTTCCTATGTCTCGAACGGTAGTGAGTGCATAAGGAAGTAGAAGATTATTGCCCGAATGCTGTTCGGGTATGTATCGGATGGTATTCCGCCAGTTCCCGAGGCAATTTTGGCGGTTTTCTGCGGCTGCCATTTTATTTCCCCGATAACCGTCATGATTACTTGGGGAGGATTCTCAGCGTGACACGTGTCCAAGTCATCATTACTGGCGGCATGTATCTCTGTGATTGGCCGATTATTCGGTGTGACAGAGTATAAATAGGCTTTTCTGGCTCTGATTCTGGGTTTCGGAACCTTGCATCTCCGGCCTATTGCTCTGCCTTCTCTCTAGCGCCTTTCATTTGTTCTTTGTTCAGGCACTTTCCGGCTTTTGCTTTTTTCCTCTTAATCCCTCATTCGGTAATCATGGCGCCCCGTCTTCGTTCCTCCGAAGCCTCCACTTCCAATGCCGCTCTTCCAGAGGGAAATCCCGAATTCGCAGTGGGAGCCGCCCCCATTCCTGCGGATGTTTCTAACGATGACGCCTCTTCTTCCCGGACCTACTCCGACGACACCAAATCCGGGGATGAGTTGGAAATCATGGAAGCCGGTCCTCCAAGCGGCGTTCCATGTCACAAACTTGACCTAGCGCTCATTAGGTTTATGCGGCAAAAACTCACGACCCAGAATAGGGCCCAAATCCAAATGCTAATCCCCGATTCGGTGGACGTCCACCTCCAGGCAGGGCTCCACCCAATGCGTCACCTTCCCGGGATGGTGGTGGTTCATTTTGATTCGGTCAAGGCCGGTCTCAGGTTCCCACTCCACCCTTTCTTTGTTTCATTGTTAAATTTCTACAATATAGTGCCAGCCCAAATCATGCCGAACTCCTATCGGGCTATGGCTGGCTTCATTTGCCATTGTTCCGCCGTCGGGGTGACGCCCACCTTAGAACTCTTCCATTATTTTTTCTCGGTCATCCCTCAACAGGCCCATGGGTTTCTAGTGGTGAGTGCCCGAATACGGCACATCTTGTTCTGTGATGCTCCTTCCTCGATCAAGGGCTGGAAAGACCGGTTCTTCTTCGTATCTGTACCGAACGGGTTAATCCCGAGGAAATGGAATGCCTTCCCTCTGAAATCCCCCGAACCATTCATTTCCGAGGACCTTAGCAAAGACATCATCGCCGTGGAGCATGGGGGTTCTTACAAGATCATGACCTACTTAACTCCTGCACGACTCATCAAGGCCGGGATAGGTACTGCCCGTATTCCTGGACTTACTTGACTGAAAACCAAGTGCCATGGCCCGGGCGGTCCTTCTCGTGTGAGAAAACATTTTGTTCATCCACGTGCGAACCGCTCGGTACTAATTTTTTCCTTTGTTTGTTTTCAGCTCCCAATCAAGACGAATCTTCAGAACCTGAAGGAGCCAATCCCGAACAACCAGCTATGGATGATAGTAGGCTATTCTCCGTTGGTGTCGATGATGAGCACCAGGTCTCCCCTTCTGTCCAGGAGAGAAAGAAGTCCAAGAGGAAGAGGCTGAGGAAAGCCGATCAGACAACTTCCTCCCAAGCTGCCTCTCAATCTACTGAGCAGCCTGAGCCTGCTCAGGAGATCCTCCCAGTCCAGCAGGTTGCTCCTGATCAGCAACTGTCCCACGCTGACATGCTGATGGATCAGCTTTTCTCTGATCAGCAACCTCACGGATTCTCCGTCGAGGAAGTGGCCGCCCACCAGTCTGACCTGGCCAGGCTGCTCTAGAGGATTTCCCTCCAAGATCCTGCCCACGACATGTTGGAGCTGGGGGGTTGTCCGGCAAGCCGGATCTGGCCAAGGAGCGAGACCTGCTCGTGGCCAAGGAGAATGCTGAGAAGGTTTCTTCTTCTGCCATCCAGGCAGCTGAGGCCGAACGGCTAGCATTCGTCGAGGAGCGGAAGAGGACGGAGGCCGAAGTTGGAGAGCTTCGCGTCAAAGTGGCGTCCCTCTAGCTCCCTGCAGATTGCAGCGGCTGAAGCCGCTCAGGTCAAGTTTCAGGAGGCGCCCTCACAGATCCCGGACGGCCATGCTGAAATGATTGTTGATCTTTCTGCCGTCCGGGAAAATTTTAAGACTTCTGAAGAGTTCTTGGATCTGAAGGAAGAGTATGCCCTCGAACAGCTCCCTGTTGTCTTCGGGAGGCACCTGGCTAAGCTGACTGGCGAAGAGCGCCAAAAGGAGGGGGTCAGGATGCTTGATCAGCATCCGGTGACCAAGGAATGGGCTGAAGCATTTACCCGGGGGGTCTATGGCTCCGGATGCCAGCATATGCTCCAGCCGCTCCTTCCTCTCCTGGAAAGGCAATTGGGCCGACCGGTGCAACCATCCGACTTCTCTGGTCTACACCCCAATCATCTGAACGCCTTGACTGCTCAGATCAACAAATGCAGGAGGGCCCTGGGAACGGAGATTGTCCAGGCCATAGATGAAGAGGGTGAGGATGACGATGAAAATGAAGAGGGTGGAGATAACCCCGAACAGTAGAATAGATATTCTCATTCCTTTGTATTTCCATTTTCTATTTTATAAGTATTTTCTGTAATTTCCGGTCAGTAGAACCGATGAATACAAAACTTTTTGCCCATTAATTTGCCTCCGTAGTTTATTTGTTCATTGCCTTGCTTTTGGACTTGGTTGTTTTATTGATCTCCATTTCCATCTTGTTCTGTCATAGCGATCGGGCTGCTTGTTTGAAATTGCATTCATATGTTGAGTCCAACAT